ATATAGAAGAAGGAATGTCACTCTACCGAGTTTTAAAAGCAATTTTGTATTATGAGAAAGTTGCCTACATCTATTAAACTAGCTAGCGGTAGCCTGAAAGAGAGCTCATTTTTTACCAAATACAAATTCCGATTGAAGCAATATGAATTCAATCTTTAAAAAAAATGGGGAAACTTTTTGCAATATGTACTTTAGAAGTCATCAGTCAGTAAGTAGTCAAGTGGTTTAAACACTAGACTGGAGATGGGCAGGTCATGCATACATTTGCCACTCTCCACCCAGGTATTAAGTAGGTACATGTACTGCTACTGGTAGGATGAAATTTCTTTAATGCCGTGAGCAATAAAATTGGGAGCCTATATAGCTAGGGCCAAGTTAATATGGTAGTGCCTTGAGCACCTTGCATGGATGGATATATGAGCTATAAAAAAAAAATCCAATATCCAATTAGCAATATGGCCAGTTAACCATGACCATATAAACCCTTAGTTAGGAGAAAAATTTCAGACATACACATGTAGGCCTACTTTATAATGTTTGTTTTTTAAAACCATTGGGTTATAAGCCTACACGCCATACACAGACCTACATGCCACACATTCGCCTTTGCGGGTTCATCTGCTTCATGACACCAGCAACGATGAACCCACAATCTGTTGGAATCTACTATAGATGCTCTCAATCTACTTGGCATGAAAGCACCTACTAGTTGCATGCTGAGCTGGGCAGACTGGGTGATAGTGGTCATCTGTAATACCAATCACCATGGTATATTAATGGGACATGACACTGTATTGGAGAGGCTCCCTTCCTCCCTTCATTCTCCTGCCCAATGTTATATCTGACCTTTCCTCCTGATGGCTTAATCAAGTTCTACTTTGCCATATATTTAGGACCAAGGTCAACGTCGGAGTAACTAAGAGCATACCAAGACGTATTTAGCTTTTTCATGTCCATTAACGTTTTTCTTTTGGGAGAAACAAAGCAAAGGGATTACTTACAACTCACAATTCATCAATTAAATGCAGGTTCTTTGTCTTATGGCAAAAACAGTTGCTGGGTCCTTCTACTGATGCTACAACCAGAACTTCAGATATTCCTTGGCAAACGGGTAAAGTTGTAAGTTCATGGTATATGCAGTCTATTTTTGAACACCCATCCTACTCTCTTTAGAGCTTTTATAACACTTTAAATCTCGAGCAAGTCTGATGAAGCGATGAGTGAAGCAGGCTTCATGGCAAGTGCTGAGGTTACCAGGCGCAAATCTTCAAATATTTTCTCTAGACTTAACCGAATCTAAATTTGAAATAGTTATCCTGAAATCCTTTGAGTTTCACTTTCAATTTCATAGCGATTGCGGACGCATTAAGGTGTCTTCTCCTCTGCTGACATCTAGTATTATGGGGGAGAGTAGCGATGACATATGTAAAGCAGCAACCTAGGATGTGGTGAACTTTGACCTTCTTGTGGAAAGTTCGCGCATCAGGGGTCATTGGTATAAAACTGGCATGAATTTGAAAATAATTTGAAGGCGAGGGAAGAAAAAATAACTTAAAGATGATATTCAATATCATGTTGAAATATTATGTAACTTAATATTATCAAAACTATTGGTTACAGGAAGTTTACGCACAGTATGCAGAAGTTTGGCCTTATAAATCATCAGAATAGTTATCCTTGTAAATTTTCCTCATGGTTATGACAATGATATCAATGATCAGATTACAATTTCTAAATATATGTATAATATAATGACACTTATGATGATGATGGAACAGTGTAAAATGGAAAGGTTCCAAGGAAAGCTTGAAATCTATATAGGATACAATAGAGGAGAAAGCAAAAAAAAAAGAGCTGAGAACTGCAGATCTATGTTAAAGTCAAATTCAAATATTTATTGAATTTTGTGTATATTTCTGTAATAACTATCATGATGATCCAACATCACTTTGAAATTTATGATTTTCATGCGTGGGTTTCCTCTTTCAATTAATTATCCCTCTTCTGCACCCCCTTGACTCATCCTCTTCTGGTATCCACGTCATGAAAAATATGTCTTGATGCCCTCCCGAAGGCTTGCTTCTTGGGGGATACCCCGGTGCCCCTAAGGGTTCAAGTTCAAATGCTCTTACATCTTCAGGTATGCTTCAGGTGTGTTTATTCAGGCAAGAGGATAAGCGAAGAGCTTGAGGAAATAGTTTTGAATGGTGGAACGAGGGCCATTCCTGGTCGAGATGAGTCATTGTGATGCACAATCTCTTCTGCCAAAGATCAGGAAGATTTTTCTAGAACTTTCACTTCACTGACAGATATTTCCTTGATTGTTCAATTTTTTTTCTAGTTTGATTTGAGATATATATGAAACAGTTTTTGCAATATATCCAAAATTGTTTTCCCGTTTCACTAACTGTATATTTATGATGAATACAAGTCACAATGAGAGGCAACACCTTGTAGTGCAAAAAGGAAACAGGGGGAAGAAACTCGACCTACCTGCTGAGACCTAGACGGTAGTTAAATCATTTATTTGGAGTTACTACCCTTCTGGCTTGCAACAGAAAATATGCTCATTAATAATAATAATAATGGGTTCTTGTATAGTGCTCATGTCTGTCAGACTTGACACTCCTGATGCTCTACAATTATTACCCCAGCTTTAGCATGGCCGCCAATATGGCGCTCTATAAAGGAATCAGTTCCTGCCAGGTACCCATTTACCTCACCCGGGTCGAGTGTGGCAAATGTAGATTAGTGTCAAGCCAAAGGACATTAGTGCTGCGGCGGGACACAAATCGCGAACCATGCAATCCAAAGACCAGTGACACTAGACCACGACACAAGCACCTTCGTCTTCTTTACATTATAGAAGATTACTCCATTACTAAGATATCCTTAAAAATCTTCTTCCATAAAAAAACTTATCACAGGGCTTGGCACTAACAGGAAACTGGGACACATGGGTGCCTAAATTCTAAGTCCAGACCCCGAAATTTCAAAATTTTAACATGGGGTTCATGCATACAGCCCCTGGCCACCCCACTCCAGGGTCGGAGGGACCGCATGCGTGTTCCCAAAATGTCCAGTAAAGGCGTACTATTCAGGCACCAAAGTCTGGCTCGTAGTACACAAAAATCTGGCCCGTATTGACTTTACACACCGGACTTAGGGGGGTGTTTTCAAAAGAAGGGAACATGCATACGCGTACCCTAAATAACACTGAGTGGGGGGGGGGCCGGGATACAGCCCCCTTTAATGTTTCAACCCTTGTCAAGAAAATGTTAGTGTGGATCCCTGCTTACCCTATGGTTTAAAGATTCAACTCTAGCCGGGGAGGAATTGATAGCAACACTCGGAGGACCAATTGGTAGAGTTGATTACTTCCTGCATTCTTTTCTTTGATTCGTGAAGGAATCTATCTGCACACTGGGGTCCTTCTTTAAAGCACTGATTTTAAGCTGGTGCATGCATGAAGGAATGGTGTGACCAAGGAAAGATCCCCAGGCATACTATCACATGATTAGTGATCCAGTTTTTCACTATTAAAGCCATTACCTAGGCATTCTACGATCATCAATGTAGCTTTCACACATGAAAAATGGGATTTACAATTGAAACAACAATTTTCAAAGAAATCATAATGAAGAATCTAATGGGCTAATGTATTACAAGACATACCTGTATTAAACACATGATTAATTATCTTCATGTGAGACTACAATGTAAATCATAAATTAGTACTAAATAAAATTGTGTGATTGATATACTAAAAAGGAAATTTGAAAAATAGGGATAGGGAGGGAGAGAGAGACAGAGACAAAGTGAATGAGACATAGGGGAGGAAGGGATGGAAAAAGGGAGAAATAAAAATAGATACTTCGAGAGAAAAGTGATGTAAGAAAATAAAAATACAACTTAAAAAGAAAAATTACTTCACACATGTAGTGTTACAGCAAATAACGATATGAAAGTAAGGGAGTGGCAGTACAAGAGCTACAAAATGAAAGGTGAAGGAAATCGAGATGAATAGATGTATAAATCAATGTACGCTTAATGGATGAGTTATCTAATCATTCAGCTTCAGGGCACACAAATCACCCAGCATACCATCAAAAGTGAATCATGGAGGTGAGTAACGTTGTCCGTACCTTTTTACATGGTTTTGTACAGAGGTAGGAAGGGCAGTGGGCTGAAATGACAAGTTCTTCCAAATACTAACTATAATGACTGGAATGAAAGCTACTTAAAAACTGTAGAAATCTGTTGAAAATCGTATGAATGCTAAGAACGCGTTAAGTGGGGCTGCTTTATTGAGCAAGTGCCATGAGCGCCCAGCAACAAGAAAGTGCCATTATCGTCATCATCATGATGGTCAAAGCCATAAGAATTTTTTTTTTTAATAATTATAAAAATAACTAAAAAACAAGCAAATCTGTTCAATCTCTTCATTATTATTCATCTCCATGAAACTTTGAACTTCCAGAGCTAAATACTACCATTTCTTTCAGTAGTCATCAACTAAATTATTTAAAAAACAAGTGGAGATGTTATGTTATATGGCAAAATGAAATATTATTGGGGTTGCATGCTAGAAGGGGGCCATTATCCTTGGATCCAGTCCAATAGTGTCAGAACTCTTTAAGCTACAACCCTCTTTCCTCCTTCGTCTTCCCTCCATTTGCATTCAGCATTAGTTAGCTGACTTGCTCCCAGCTATATATATATATATTAAATATGGATGACCGGAGTTAAGAATCACCACCTTGTAATGACTTGAGTGTTTGTGAGGGCGATGACAAATTCATCTAGAAGGCTTTTTCTCCCTTCGGTTCTCTTTCAGATCAATATTTGAACAATGTCACATTCAAGCTTCACCAAAATGACACATTGCCTCGCAAACAATCTTTATCAGATGAACATACAAAACTTTCTCATTTATTAACTTCACTTTCAGAGTCCTACAATGAATAGCTTACATTCAATATTTTTCTTCACTAACTTACCTGAATATTTTGCTTCAATTCAGCTACAAAATTCCCATCTGAACAGGAAATCTGAAAGAACAAGAAGGAATTTAGCAAGGTTATAGGACAAAGGTAAGATTTAAAAAAATGAAAATATTTATTTCCATTTGGAGTAATCGTCACATTTACTTCCAAAACATAATACAATACAGGGGTTCATCCAGTTAGAACCATCAGATGCTGTTATCTTATACCATGCATGTAACTATCTGTAAACGTGATGAGTGATGACTGAGACAACCACACATTGCTTTAGTCACAGTTCATCCCTCTCCCCTGTCTCATGAAACTGAAGTAATGTGATGACTGGCAAGAGCCGTCGACTACCGAATTCTCTCATTTCCATTGGCTTAATACCGGAGCCACTGAAGTAAATGCGATGACTAGGAAGTGACCTGTAGCCCGTTGACTACTAAATTATCTCTTTCCCATTGGCATAACACAGGAACCGCCCAGTTCCTGTAGGCAACTGGTTAAGATGATCTGAATTCCTGGTATTACAAAGCATAATTCACACCCACATCCACACTGTATTGCTTATATCCATATTGTTATATCGTTATATCAGTGATTGTTCTAAGACTTTCTTCTCCATTTTTGAAAAGACAAGACACTAATGAAAAAAGAGAAAGAGATCATGTTGAGTTGTGAGAGGCCATCTTTGCCAGTTGTACAGCTGGATGTTACAAGATAGCTAGATTCAGATCGTGGAAGCAATACAAACTCTTCATAAAAGATGAGAAGGTTTGTGTGATTATTCTGAAATGAAGTGTCACACTGCCCTTGTTTTCCCTATTTTCCCTATTACTATGCAAAATGTAGGAATTTGACATATAAATGTGTTTAGAAAATACATTTGAGTCAGAACTTATAGTTGTCAAATGTATTCTAACAGAGTAAACATTTACGAGCATTTCTGTAATAAAATTGTGCAGCTGTGGTCTTCTAGCTGGTTAATTTGTTCTCTTTCATTGGAGGGTGTCCAAACTTCCTTTCTAAACATTCATGATTTATCTCTGTGTGTACAATTTGATATATGCATACTTATAATGGTGCTGTTTGCTTCTGTGACAAAATGTGACTGAGTGCAATCATCAACCAGTTGTTATTAACAGACAGAAAACTATTTCATGATAGAAAGATGAAGGGAAAAAAAGAATCCCAGCTGAATAGAGCACAGGTACAGAAGTCTGAATGAAAAGAATTTCACCTACAATTTGATGACAAAACACAAAAATACAGACAATACATTTAAACATTGGCATTTCAATTTTTCACTTTATTAGGGCCTTTATATAGGTCATGACCTTTAAAAGAAATAATATCAATTCAAAAGTTATTTAATTCTGAACTGTAATTACCATCTGAACTTTCTGTACCCTGAAATGTCAAAAAACTTGTCCTGATTGTATTTTGACAAGATGTCAACCCCGATCTGAAAAATAGATTTCAATATACAAGTATTCATATCTGCAACTGTAATCATATTTGAACTTTGTATACCCTGAAAAATAACTAAAAAATGTGTCGAGCTTGTATTTAGACCAGATGTCTATCCCGTTTTGGTGCAGACTGATAAAGATACCTTTTAGATGGTTACGACATCCTGTATTGTCGGCTCCCCGGTGAGGAATTTTTACGCACGGCAACGAGGTACAATTGGACCATGTGCGAAACGCATTACGCTTGAAAAATTGGTAGGTCATGCTTATTGCGAATTATGTGCGCAAGCCAACCATAGCAACAGATGGGGAAATGAACTCCTGCCACGCGCAGAGGAATTTAAAAGTCGACTTGAATGTTGAACATTTCATTAACATTCAAAACTGGAGTACTTTTTGACCCGGTGCTTCAACACGTCCATTAGCACTAATTTTGAAGTCTCATTTTGAAAATGAATGGTACAAGCGACTAGCCAGTGAGGGTATAGAGTCAATGAAAGTGTGTCAATACATGTTTATTTTTTCAACTGCTATCAAGGTCTATCGATCATCTGACTAAAACAAAATCTTGAAATCCATGATAAGTGTTCGTCCAAAGATTACAAGAGTGTTTTCCCTACATTAAACAAAAATTATCAGGAGATGACAACAATTCTAAACCTATAAACTGAAAAGCAATAACCAAGATAAATACTGGACATAATGAATTCAATAAAAGCAATTTCACATTAGAATATAACTGCTCAATAGTTAGTTTGTGAATTGTTTTTAACTGTGTTGTTAAGACGAGCCCCAAACGTGCATGGCTGTTTCTAAGCAATTAATTTTTAGTGTCACCTTGAATCTCAATGTGATTAGCAATCTAACCTTGACTTGATGAATTCAATGAATCATGAAAAGAGGCTTTTTAGCTTCATCCACTCATCTGCTGTCATCTATGACTGATATTTATACTGATGATATGCATTTATGCCTAGATGTATGAAGCAACAAGTCCTTGCATTAGGTAATTTGCCCTGCTATGATGTATCTTTTATGGTGATTCACGGACGGTAATGTACAGTACAGTGTGAATTATAGGCCAAGGTGACCTTTGAAAACATGTGAAGATACACCATGGAGAATGATTTTGGACGAGATGCTGTAATTAGCATACAACATTCAACAACTTTCATCACGGTCAGTGAAATGAAGTAAGGTTTGACTAACATATTTTGTCATTTGCATGCTAATAGCATTTAAAAGAGAAATGAAAATTGCCAATAAGCTAGATATAATCAAAGAAGGTTACAAAAGAGAAAAAGAAAGAGAGAGAGAGAAAGAGAGAGAGAGAAAGAGAGAGAGAAAAGAAAGAGAGAAAGAGAGATAGAAAGGTAGACAGAGAGAGAGACAGAGAAAGAAAGAGGCTGACAGAAAGGGAAAAATAAAGGGAGATGGGGGGGGGGAGATACAGACACACAAAGAGAGAGAGAGAGAGAGACAGACAGACAGACAGACAGAGAGAGACAGAGAGAGAGACAGAGAGACAGAAAGAGAGAGAGAGAGAAAGAGACTGGGCTGAAGAAAAAAATCCTGAAAGACCATCCAAAAAGAATAAGAAAAAAAAATTAGGAATAAAAAATTAGTCCAATAAAACTTGGGATGTGAGAACAAATATGACCCAAAATGTCATGATGAGATATACAACAATATGAGGAAAACAAAGAAAAAGATGGAACAAAATAAAATATTCAATAATCTACACAATTGAACAATGAAAGTACCGTAAGTCAATGTATGTCCTGTTATGAATCCCTACACATTGATCATGCCTTCTAACAGAATCAATTGAAATTCTGCTCATAAAAATGATCCTCTGTGGCTCAGCTCTGAAGACAATATCCATGATTGCCTTTGAATTGGCTGAGATTTCTAGGAGTGTGTCTCCCAGATATAAGTAGTGGATCGGCACAGGTTTTCTACCTGCCTTGAAAATTTATACACATAAAGAGTAGCCTACCTTGAATCTTAATACTCAAGATTTCAGTTCTACACATATATATAAAAATAGAGCGATATTATTTGGGGTTTTCTATGTTTATATTTTGTTATATGTAATCTAAAGGCCATGGGTATACTATAGGCAAGAAGCAACACAATTACATTCAAATACTACCTTATCAATGATTGAAGAAAATTTGAATTCATAGAAATAACAATGGCATTTACTATAAAAAAAAAAAAATTATTCTCGGGAATCCCAATTTTCATGACAATATTGGTTCTCGAAATAACATACTCTCTATAAAATATACAGAACAGTAATCATATGATAAACACATTTCTCTTATCTGAGCTCCATTCATGATACACTGATAGCATTATGCAATAGATGCATTATGGTACTCACCTACAGATAAAAAGACAATCTGTTAAATTGATATACTTTCAATCTTTATGCCAGGTAATATTAGAGAAATCACATTGAGCTGTTGTCCCTAGGATAATCTCCAAAAATCTGTGTCCTCTATCTCCTCCAGTCAACTGACAACTGAGCTCACAGAATCAGATCCCACTCAGGCATAAACCGTTGTAAACGTTACAAACTGTTAATATTCGGAGTTCACAATACTGTAATGCTAACAAAGATAATTCAGAAATTCAGTTAGAATAACGAATATCCAGCAGCTATCCAATAGTAATCCTGTGGTGGCAGGGAGGGAGGGAGGAAGAGAGATAGAGATAGAGCTAAAGATGAGATGCCTTGCAGAGAGAGCATCTCTTGATAAAGTGGAAGCCTGACTCTTGCTCCTGATGCGTGCCTGCCCCAGCCGTACCATCCATCCGAGATGTATCTTCCCACGAGCACAATATCATCACAGCGGGTTAGAACGCTGAAACCCGAAACCCTGCTTACTATACTCGCTAGCTTGCTTTCTCCTCTCTCTGTCTCCCTCTCTCTCTCTTACACCCGTATCGTGTGTGTACGTGTGTGTGTGTGTGCTTTTTAACGTAAAGAGGGAAGGGAGCCCTGAGCTCTACTCGCTCTGCTGATGAATAAGTATATGTACGAGAGTGTGTGTGTGTGTGTGTGTGTGTGAATGAGAGGAGAGAGAAGAGGAGAATGGGGTAAAGTGAGGAGAGCATCCCAAGCTTTTAGGTGTGTACTCCCAAACGAGATGGTTAATGGCGACCCGATCATGCAAACAAGTGCCTGGATGTGTGGGAAGGGATGGACAACAAGCAAAAATAGAATCCTGCCTTGAATGAAGACGGTATGAATGTAGATTCAATGACCATTTGGAATCAAACAACATCATCACAACACAAAAAACCTTATTCCACTAAATAAATTCCTTTCTTAATCCTCACATTCAAGACTGCCAAATTATCTTGAAGCCGCTTCATCAATCTCCCACACAATGTCTATCCAGGAACCGACTTAATGCAGAGATAAATCTATACTTATTAGATCCTGTGCCCTAATGCACGAGAAATAAATTTGCCAAATTTGCCAGGCGCATCGCATTTAATGGTCAATGATCAATTATGCAAAGGCCTATGTCTGCGTGTGTATGTGTGCAGCATCAGCATTAAACCTTGTGTCAT